CTCCTTCCTTCCTTCTTTCTTTTTCTCTTTCTTCTTTCTCTCTCTCTTTTCTTCTTTCTTTCTCTTTCTTCTTTCTTTCTTTCTCTCTCTTTCTTATTTCTTCTTTCTTTCTTTCTTTCTGTCTTTCTTCATTTCTTCTTCCCAGTTTCTCCTCTTTCTCCCTCCCACCCTCCCTCCTCTCCTCCTCCCCCTCCCTTCCTCTCACCCCTTCCCCCCTCCCCCCTCCCTCCCTTCCCCTTCCAATTCTCATTCCTTCCTTCTATCCTCCCTTCTATCCTCCCTCCCACCTTCCCTCCGTCCCCCTTCCCTTCTCCTTCCAATTCTTCTTCCTTCCTTCCTTCCTTCCTTCCTTTGTTTTCCTTCCTTCAACCTTACCTTTTCCTTCCAATTCTCCTTCCTTTCTCCCTTCTTCCCTCCATCCCTCCCTTCCCCTTCAAATTCTCCTTCCTTCCTTCCTTCCTTCCTTCCTTCCTTCCTTCCTTCCTTCCTTCCTTCCTTCCTTCCTTCCCTCCCTCCCTCCTCCCTCCCTCCCTCCCATCATTCCCTTGGCCTGTTCTCATGCTTGGCCCCCCAACCCCTTGAACTGTCTGGACCTGTGGACCTCAATTCTGGACACCCCCGGTCTAGTCTTTTTCCAACCTTCCAAGGAACTTCCCACCCAGGACACCCAAAAATGGCAACCGAGACATGTCTTAGGGTGAAGCCAGGGGTGGGCTTCAAAAATTTTAGCAAGGGGTTCTCTGTCTGGTTGCTGGATGGGCATGGACATGGTGGGCGTGGCCTAGTCGGCCTCCTGCACCACGATGGGGGGTCATTTTTGCCCTCCCCGGGCTCCTGAGGCTTTCATCGAGCCTCCGAGAGGGCGAAAACGGCCTCCCCAGGCTCCGGAGGCCCTCTGGGGGCCAGAAAGGGGTTCTTTCCTGGCCTTCACAATCTTCCGGTAGGCTTGTTTTTCGCCCTCCCCGAGCCTCTGTGTGCGCCCCTGCACTTACCTGCACCCATAACGGGCCACGTGGGGACTCCAGGGAGGGGCGGAGCAGGGAGGGGGGGCAGCCATTTTGATTGCTATCTAATCGGTTAAGATTAAAAAAATTGAGCCTGTAATATACCTCTGCGCAGGTAATAGTTAACTAATATATTATGGGGATTAGAAAGCATGTCCCAATGCAAATATTCCCTCGTGGGAAAGTCCCCGGAAGAAATTTACGGTTAATACGCCTCTTTGTTCTGCGTTCAAGAGAAATATCTGAGGAATGTCTCAGAATTTCACCATTTGAAGAGTTGACTTGGTCCGGAGAGGAGGACGCAGCTCTGCACCCAAAGGACGTCGGCCAAAGAGGGCTGCCCAGAGTTCCTGTTGCCAGCCGGTTCCTCCATCGTCCACCAAGATGGTCCCCCTTTCTTCCCTCCTTCTTATCCTCGCCTGCCTGTCAGGATCCTTCGGTTATACAGGTGAGGTTTTAAACTCAGGTGGGAGTAGCAGCTCTCACCTGTCCGTGGAGGCTCCTCTGGTCTCCAGAAGCTGGTTGGTCTTTTCATTGGTGTGGCTCTCGATGGGGCTGTTGGATCTTCTGTTCATGGTAGAAGCTTGTTGGTCAAGGAGAAGGTCGAATGTTAAGGCTGTGGGTTGGTTTGCTCACAGGATCCTTCTGAGGTGGCTTCAGCCCAAACCCAGGTAGGAGCCTCCATGAGTAAAGAACACCTGTCCACCATCTCCTTCCCTTCCTTCCTTCCTTCCTTCTTCTTCCTTCCTTCTTCCTCCTTCCTTCCTTCCTTCCTTCCTTCCTTCCTTCCTTCCTTCCTTCTTCCTCCCTCCCTCTCTCCTCCCTCTCCCTCTTCCTTCCTTGCTCCCTTCTCCTTCCCATTCCCTCTTTCTCTCCCTTCCCTCTCCCTTCCTTGCTCTCTCCTCCTTTCCATTCCCTCCCCCCTTTCTCCTTATCTTCCTTCCTTCTTTCCTCCCTCCTTTCGCTCTTCCTTTCTTGCTCTCTCCCCATTCCCTCCCTCCCTATTTTCCTTCCTTCCTTCCCTTTTCCTTCCTTGCTCCCTCCCTTTTCTCCTCCCTCCCCCTTCAACCCCTCCCATTCCCTCCCTCCCTTCCATTCCCTGCTCCCTCTCATTCTCTTCTTCCTTCCCTCCTCCCTCCCATTCCCTCCCTCTCCCCTCCCTATCTTCTATCTTCCTTTTTTTTTGCTTTAATTTATATGGCGCCCTCTCCCTCCGTCTTACAATCCCTCTTCCCCCCTTCCCTCTTCCTTCCTTGCTCTCTCCCCCTTCCCTCCCTATCTTCCTTCCTTTCTATCTTCCTTCCTTCCCTCCTTCCTTCCCTCCCTTTTCCTTCCTTGCTCCCCTCCTCCTTCCTTTCTCCCTCCCTTCCTTTTCTCCTCCCTCCTTCCCTTCCCTCCTTCCCTCCTCCTTCCCATTCACTCCTCCCTGCTCCCTCCCATTCGCTTCTTCCTTCCCTCCTCCCTCCCATTCCCTCCCTTTCCCCTCCCTATCTTCCTATCTTCCTTCCTCCCTCCCTTGCCCCCTTTCCCTCTTCCTTCCTTGCTCTCTCCCCCTTCCCTCCCTATCTTCCTTCCTTCCTTTCTATCTTCCTTCCCTCCTTCCTTCCCTCCCTTTTCCTTCCTTGCTCCCTTCCTCCTTCCTTTCTCCCTCCCTTCCTTTTCTCCTCCCTCCTTCCCTTCCCTCCTTCCCATTCACTCCTCCCTGCTCCCTCCCATTCTCTTCTTCCTTCCCTCCTCCCTCCCATTCCCTCTGTTCCTCAGCCAGAAGAAACGTATTCAAGACCATCTAAAAACGGAGATGACTTAACTTGGATTTACTTTGTTGCTGGGCCTAAAACGGTCCATGTGGCACTAACCTTACTCTACGAGGCTGGTGTCCCACTCGCCAGGTTCTCTTTTGTCCCCCTTTCTAGATCTTTGGAACAAGGTCTTTGCATTCCCAGCACCTTCTTCCACAGCCACCGTGGTTCTCCAGATCTCCAACCAGCAACCCTTGACCAAGCTGACCGTCTGCTTGAGATACTACACCCTCCTGGCCCGTCAGTACGGCCTCTTCTCTTACGCCACCCGCTCCAGCGACAACGACTTCCTGATCTTCAAGCCCCAAGCCAACGAATATGCCATTTACGTTGGTGGCTCATTGGTAAACTTCAAGGTCGCTCCGAAGGAGAAACCGAGCTGGGACCACATCTGCGTGTCCTGGGACTCCACCAATGGGTTGGTCCAGTTGTGGCTCAACGGAGAACCCCTCCCTCGACAGGGACTGAAAAAGGGTTACACCATCAGCCCCCAGGCCTCCATCGTGTTGGGGCAGGACCAGGACAACTTCGGAGGGGGCTTTGACGTCAACCAGTCCTTCATGGGGGAGATTTCGGACGTCAACCTGTGGCCCCGGGTGCTGACTCCTATGGATGTTAGGTTGTCTATGAACCACATGGCGGTTTCTGGCTCTCTGATTAACTGGAGGTCCCTAAGTTACACCATCAAGAACGAAGTCTTTGTGGAAGATTTCCTGGGTCCCCAAAATGCTTGCGTCTGAGAAAGGAAGGAAGGAAGGAAGGAAGGAAGGAAGAAGGAAGGAAGGAAAGAAGGAAAAGAAAGAAAAGAAGGAGAAGAAAGAAAGAAGGAAAGGAAAGAAAGGAAATCAATCAATCAGTTCTGGGGGGAAAATCTATATTTCTGCAATGAGATGCAAATTGCTCAAGCGGCTGTTAATGAATTACAGGCATGCTTGAAAAAGAACGTGTGAGCATTATAATGTCTTTATCAATAAAATTAGCTTTTTCTGGTGCCGTGATGGAGTCTTCTTATTGGAAAATAAAATCCTAAATGGAGGTCTGGGCTGGGAGGGACCACAATACTACCATAAATCATCTACAGGTAGAACTTTGCAAGCCCTGGCATGAGTCTCTCTGTCTTTTTATTCCTTCTTCCTTTTCTCTCTCTCTTCCTTCCTTCCTTCCTTCCCCTTCCTTCCTTCCTTCCCTCCCTCCATCCTCCTTCCTCCCTCCTCCCCCTCCCTCCCTTCTTTTTCCAATTCTCCTTCCTCCCTCCCTTCTTCTCTTTTCCTCCCTCCCTTCCCCTTCCAATTCTCTTTCCTTCCTCCCTCCCTCCTCCTTCCAATTCTCCTCTCTCCCTCCCTTCTTTTTCCAATTCTCCTTCCTTCCTCCCTTCTTCTCTTTTCCTCCCTGTTCCTTCCAATTCTCCTTCCTTCCTCCCTCCCTCCCTTCTCCTAATTCTCCTTCCTTCCTTCCTCCCTCCCCCTTCAAAATTCTACTTCTTTCCTTCTTTCCTTCTTTCCTTCTTTCCTTCTTTCCTTCTTTCCTTCTTTTCCTTCTTTCCTTCTTTCCTTCTTTTCCTTCTTTCTCCCTCCCTCCCTCTCTCAGCTCACCCTGTTCTCAGGCTTGGCCCCCAAAACTCTTGAACTGTCCGTGGTGGGATTCCAGCTTGCCCCCTTCCCTGCCCTTGAACTGAGGGGAACACCTTCCTCAAAGCCACTCACCCCTCTTTATGGAAGGATTTGGGGACAAAATGGCCAGTTCTAGGCACAAAGATCTCTGTTTAGGCTTGAACAGCTGAGCGTCCCAAACCCCAAGATGGAAGGCCTTCCAAAGACATGAGCCATCCCTTCTTTCTCCACCCACCGTCTTCTAGACCAGGAGCCTCCAACCTTGGCAAGGCCTGTGGACCTCAATTCTGGACACCCCTGGTCTAAGGTTTTTCCGACCTTCCAAGGAACTTCCCACCCAGGACACCCCAAAAATGGCAACTGAGAACACCTCCAAGATTGAAGGAAAACTCAACAGGAAGGGCCCTCCAAGCTATTTCGATTGGGCATCTAATCGGTTAATGAAATGAAATAAAAATCGAGCCCCTAAATATATCTCTATACCTGCAATAATTAACTAACACTTTACGTACGGTAGAAAACATGTTGCAATGTAAATACTCTCTCGGGGAAAGTCCAAGGAAAAAACCTTACGGTTAATACTCCCGTTTGTCCTGAGTTCAAGAGAAGTGTGCAAGCGGCATCCCAGAGTTTCACCATTTGAAGAGGGGATTTGGTCCTGCAAGGAGGACCCGTCTCCAGAACAAGAGTTCCTGCGGCCAACCGGTTCCTCCAGCGTCCACTAAGATGGTCCCCCTTCCTTCCCTTCTTCTTGTCCTCGTCTGCCTGTCAGGATCCTTCGGCCAAAAAGGTGAGGTTTTAAACTCAGGTGGGAGTAGCAGCTCTCACCTGTCCATGGAGGCTCCTCTGGTCTCCAGAAGCTGGGTGAAATTTGCTGGTCTTTTCATTGGGGTGGCTCTCCATGGGGCTGTTGGATCTTCTGTTCATGGTAGAAGCTTGTTGGTCAGGGAGAAGGTCGAATGTTAAGGCTGTGGGTTGGTTTGCTCACAAGATCCTTCTGAGGTGGCTTCAGCCCAAGCCCAAGTAGTATTTCCATGAGTAAGGAGGGATCTGAACTCCTGTCCATCATTTCCTTCCTTCCTTCCTTCTTCCTCCCTCCCTTTCCTTCTTCCTTCCTCTTCCATCCACACGTCATTTCATCTCCTTCCTTCCTTCCCTTTCCATCCACACCTCATCTCATTTATCTCCTTCCTTCCTCCTTCTCTCCCACCCACCCTCCCTTCGTCCATCCCTCCCTCTCCTTCCTTCCTTCCTTCCTCCCTCCCTTTCCTGCCTCCCTTCCTCTTCCATCCACACCTCATTTCATCTCCTTCCTTCCTTCCTTCCTTCCTTCCTTCCTTCCTTCCTTCCTTCCTTCCCTTTCCATCCACACCTCATCTCATTTATCTCCTTCCTTCCTCCTTCTCTCCCTCCCTCCCTCCCTTCCTTTCCTTCTTCCTTCCTTGCTCCCTTCCTTCCTCCTTCTCTCCCACCCACCCTCCCTTCGTCCATCCCTCCCTCTCCTTCCTTCCTTCCTTCCTCCCTCCCTTTCCTGCCTCCCTTCCTCTTCCATCCAACCTCCTTTCATCTCCTTCCCTTCCTTCCTTCCTTCCTTCCTTCTTCCTTCCTCATCTTTCCTTCCTTCTTTCCCTTCCATCCACACCTCATCTCATTTATCTCCTTCCTTCCTCCTTCTCTCCCTCCCCTCTCCCTCCCTTTCCTTCTTCCTTCCTTGCTCCCTTCCTTCCTCCTTCTCTCCCACCCTCCTTTCGTCCATCCCTCCGTTCTCCTTCCTTCCTCCCTCCCTCCCTCCCTCTCTCCCTCAGCTTGGCTTGTTCTCACGCTTGGGCCTTAGACCCTAGGAGTTTCCAACGCATGAAACTTTCCCCCTCCCCCCTCATTCCCTGTACTTGAACTGAGGGGAACATCTTCTTCAAGACCTCCTAAGAAACCCAAGGCCAGTGATTCCTAGATGGAGGAACTTAACTTGGTGGCCTCTCTTGTCTTTATTTTGCGCTGGGCCTAAAACGGGCCATGGGACCTCAACCCTCGCTCTACAAGTCCTCAGGCTGGTGTCCCACTCGCCAGGTTCTCTTTTGTCCCCTTTCTAGATCTCTTGAACAAGGTCTTCGCATTCCCGGCATCCTCTTCCACAGCCGCCGTGGTCCTCCACGTCTCCAACCAGGAACCTTTGACCAAGCTGACCGTCTGCCTGAGATACTACACCCTCTTGACCCGTCCGTACAGCCTCTTCTCTTACGCCACCCGGTCAAGTAGTAATGATTTTCTGATTATCAGGTTCAACCCGGATGAATATTCCGTTTACGTTGGTGGCTCAGTGGTCAAGTTCAAGGTCGCTCCGAAGGAGAAACCGAGCTGGGACCACATCTGCGTGTCCTGGGACTCCACCAATGGGCTGGTCCAGTTCTGGCTCAACGGAGAACCCCTCCCTCGACAGGGACTGAAAAAAGGTTATACCATCAGCCCCGAGGCCTCCATTGTGTTGGGGCAGGACCAGGATAGCTTCGGAGGGGGCTTTAACATCACCCAGTCCTTTGTGGGGGAGATTTCGGACGTCAACCTGTGGCCTCGGGTGTTGAGTCTCACTGGGATTAGAATGGTCAGGCACAACATCGATCCCCGTGATCCTCTGATAAAGTGGAAATCCCTGAGCTACACCATCAAGAACGAGGTCTTTGTGGAGGATTTCCTAGTTCCCCAGGGTGTATGAAAGAAAGAAAGAAAGAAAAGGAAGGAAGAAAGAAAGAAAAGAAAGAAAGAAAAGAAAAAAGAAAAGAAAAGAAAGAAAGGAAAAAGAAAGAAGGAAAAGAAAGAAAGAAGGAAAGGAAAGAAAGAAAGAATTTTTTGGGGGGGGAAAATCTATATTTCTGCAATGGGATGCAAATTGCTCAAGTAGCTGTTAATGAATTACAGGCATGCTTGAAAAGAATGGGTGAGCATTATAATTTCTCTATCAATAAAATTAGCTTTTTCTGGTGCCGTGATGGGTTGAATGTTCCTTGTGGAGTCTTCTTATTGGAAAATAAAATCCTAAATGGAGGTCTGGGCTGGGGGAGACCACAATACTACTATAAATCATCTACAGATAGAACTGTACAAGCCCTGGCATGAGTCTCTCTGTCTGTTTCTTTTTTTTCTTCCTCTCTTTTCCTTCCTTCCTTCCTTCCTCTTTTTTCTTCCTCCTTTTCTTCTTCCCTCCCTCCTTCCTCTTTTCTCTCTCTCCTTCCTTCCTTCCTCCTTCCTCTTTTCTCTCTCTCCTTCCTTCCTTCCTCCTTCCCTCCTTCCCTCCTTCCTCTTTTCTCTCTTTCCTCCCTCCCTTCCTTCTTCCTCTTTTCTCTCTCTCCCCTTCCTTTCCTTCTTCCTCTTTTCTCTCTCTCCCCTTCCTTCCTTCCCTCCTTCCTTCCTCTTTTCTCTCTTTCCTTCCTTCCTTCCTCCCTCCCTCTCTCCTCCCTCCCTTCCTCTTTTCTCTCTCTCTCCTTCGTCCCTCCCATTCCCAGCTTTCCCAAAGAGTGGGAAAGGTCTGTCCCCCTGTCGCCCTACTTCAGCATTTGCACCTTAAAAGAAAAAGGCTGGGTATCCCGAAAGTCTGAAATCGGAGCACCCTCTGTTGGCTCGGTTCAGCTATTCTTCCAATAAAAGGATGTTAAAGAAGTATAGGATCCGATTTGTGTCAGTCTTGGTCTTCCACCGTCTTAGAAGAATCTTAGAAGGCATCCAATCTTTTTTCTTTTTGAAAAAAAGTTTTTTGTTTTTATTTTTCATCAACATGTTTAAATGTACAGTCTTTTATCCATCCTCATCCATTGTTCCTTCATCTTCTTCTTTAACTCCCGTTAAGTAATTAATTAATTATTTGTTCGGGTCTGCTCTTTTACCATTTCCTTCTTTTGTTTTCCTACAGCCTTTCCTTTTTCCCTTCCCTTCTTTCTCCTCCTTTCTTTCTTCTTTCCTCCTTCCTCCTCTCCTTTCCTTTCCTACTTCCTTTCCTCTTTCCCCTCTCCTCTCTTCTTCCTCCCATTCTTATCCTCTCTCCTGCTCTTCTTTCCCCTTCCTTCTTCCTCTCCTTTTCCCATTCTTCTTTTCTCTTCTTCTCCCCTCCCAACTCCTCTACTTTCCCCCTCTCTACTCCTCCCTTCTTTTCCATTCCTTTGTTGCTTCCTTTTTTAATTCAATCTGAGACGGTATTAGAGCAGACCCGATTTCTATTTACATACGTCTTCATTTCCAGTTTCATTTTTTTACTTTACTATTATTCCTCTAGTATTCCTGTACATTTTTTAATCAATCCATGTATCATCTGGGTATAACATTTGTGCTATCTCCCATCCAATCTAACTGAAGTCCATCTATGCTGATGTTCTGTCCCCGTCTCACACATGCACACCAGCAGTCGACCAAGAGTTAAATAAACCAGCAGACAAGAATTTCTTTTGATAACAGAATTGGCAGCGGCCTAGTGACTATTTGCCAAAAGTTTTTACTTACAAAGGGAGGTTTGTCTCCTCCGACCAAAACATCAAAGTAAGTCCACAAAAGCCAAAGAATAGTCAAGTCCAGTCCAGACCAAGCAGAGCATATAACGAAGTTCCAGAAATGCAGAATGACTTGCTAGCTTTCAGTTTTGTCCGTCACAAAGCCTGAATGGCCACCACACCCCTTTTATTCCCTGTGGGGTGTGGTCCAGTGACTCAGCTTAATCTCTGGCACGCCTCCTTCTCTGCTGCGTGGGCTTGTCTTTCCGATGCTGTCGGGGATCCAGCCAAGACTTATCTCCGTCGCTGTCTAACTGCGGCTGCTCGGAAGTCCCTGGCTCCTGGCCTATCTCTTGGCCTTTGGAAGACACTTGAGGCATTGCCAGAGAGGAGGGTCCTGGAGAGGGAGGCCTTGCCAACTCTTCTCCTTCATTTTCGGAATCTTCTCCCTCCGATAAGACGGGCTCGGTGGTCAGAGTCAAAACAGCTGGATTTTTAAGCATGGAATTCCACCCCGAATCACATCCTAGCATTCGTTATTACATTTGAGTCAAAAAAAAAATTTTTACTCCTGGGCAAATTTTTTTCTGACCGCGGCATCACGCGTTTTCTTCCTCGGGCAGTAAAAACACTCGATTTTAAAAAACAGCTAATAATAACATTTTTAAGCATGGAATTCCACCCAGAATCACATCCTAGCATTTGTTATTACATTTGAGTCCCAAAAAATTTTTTTGCTCCTGGGCAAATTTTTTTCTGACCGCGGCATCACGTGTTTTCTTCCTCGGGCAGCAAAAACACTCGATTTTTAAAAAACAGCTAATAATAACATTTTTAAGCATGGAATTCCACTCCGAATCACATCCTAGCATTCGTTATTATGTTTGAGTCAAAAAATATTTTTTGCTCCTTGGGAAATTTTTTTTCTGACCGCGGCATCACGCGTTTTCTTCCTCGGGCAGCAAAAACACTTGATTTTTAAAAACAGCTAATAATAACATTTTTAAGCATGGAATTCCACCCCGAATCACATCCTTGCATTCGTTATTACATTTTGGTCAAAAAAATTTTTTTTTGCTCCTGGGCAAATTTTTTTCTGACCGCGGCATCACGCGTTTTCTTCCTCGGGCAGCAAAAACACTCGATTTTTAAAAACAGCTAATAATAACATTTTTAGCATGGAATTCCACCCGAATCACATCCTAGCATTCGTTATTACATTTGAGTCAAAAAAAAAAATTTTTGCTCCTGGGCAAATTTTTTTCTGACCGCGGGCATCATTTTTCTTCCTCGTGCAGCAAAAACACTCGATTTTTAAAAACAGCTAATAATAACATTTTTAAGCATGGAATTCCACCCCGAATCACATCCTAGCATTTGTTATTACATTTGAGTCCAAAAAATTTTTTTGCTCTGGGCAAATTTTTTTCTAACCGCGGCATCACGCGTTTTCTTCCTCGGGCAGCAGCAAAAACACTCGATTTTTAAAAACAGCTAATAATAACATTTTTAAGCATGGAATTCCACTCCGAATCACATCCTAGCATTCGTTATTATTTTTGAGTCAAAAAATATTTTTTTGCTCCTTGGGAAATTTTTTTTTGACCGCGGCATCACGCGTTTTCTTCCTCGGGCAGCAAAAAACACTCGATTTTTAAAAACAGCTAATAATACTATTTTTAAACATGGAATTCCACCCGAATCACATCCTAGCATTCGTTATTACATTTGAGTCAAAAAAAAAATTTTTACTCTGGGCAAATTTTTTTCTGACCGCGGCATCACGCGTTTTCTTCCTCGGGCAGTAAAAACACTCGATTTTTAAAAACAGCTAATAATAACATTTTTAAGCATGGAATTCCACCCAGAATCACATCCTAGCATTTGTTATTACATTTGAGTCCCAAAAAATTTTTTTGCTCCTGGGCAAATTTTTTTCTGACCGCGGCATCACGTGTTTTCTTCCTCGGGCAGCAAAAACACTCGATTTTTAAAAACAGCTAATAATAACATTTTTAAGCATGGAATTCCACTCCGAATCACATCCTAGCATTCGTTATTATGTTTGAGTCAAAAAAATATTTTTTTGCTCCTTGGGAAATTTTTTTTTGACCGCGGCATCACGCGTTTTCTTCCTCGGGCAGCAAAAAAACACTTGATTTTTAAAAACAGCTAATAATAACATTTTTAAGCATGGAATTCCACCCGAATCACATCCTTGCATTCGTTATTACATTTTGGTCAAAAAAATTTTTTTTTGCTCCTGGGCAAATTTTTTTCTGACCGCGGCATCACGCGTTTTCTTCCTCGGGCAGCAAAAACACTCGATTTTTAAAAACAGCTAATAATAACATTTTTAAGCATGGAATTCCACCCCGAATCACATCCTAGCATTCGTTATTACATTTGAGTCAAAAAAAAATTTTTGCTCCTGGGCAAATTTTTTCTGACCCCGGCATCACGCGTTTTCTTCCTCGTGCAGCAAAAACACTCGATTTTTAAAAACAGCTAATAATAACATTTTTAAGCATGGAATTCCACCCCGAATCACATCCTAGCATTTGTTATTACATTTGAGTCAAAAAAAAATTTTTTTGCTCCTGGGCAAATTTTTTTCTGACCGCGGCATCACGCGTTTTCTTCCTCGGGCAGCAAAAACACTCGATTTTTAAAAACAGCTAATAATAACATTTTTAAGCATGGAATTCCACTCCGAATCACATCCTAGCATTCGTTATTATGTTTGAATCAAAAAAATATTTTTTTGCTCCTTGGGAAATTTTTTTCTGACCGCGGCATCACGCGTTTTCTTCCTCGGGCAGCAAAAACACTCGATTTTTAAAAACAGCTAATAATAACATTTTTAAGCATGGAATTCCACCCCGAATCACATCCTAGCATTCGTTATTATTTTGGTCAAAAAATTTTTTTTTTGCTCCTGGGCAATTTTTTTCTGACCGCGCGGCATCACGCATTTTCTTCCTCGGGCAGCAAAAACACTCGATTTTTAAAAACAGCTAATAATAACATTTTTAAGCATGGAATTCCACCCGAATCACATCCTAGCATTCGTTATTACATTTGAGTCAAAAAAAAAATTTTTGCTCCTGGGCAAATTTTTTTCTGACCGCGGCATCACGCGTTTTCTTCCTCGGGCAGTAAAAACACTCGATTTTTAAAAACAGCTAATAATAACATTTTTAAGCATGGAATTCCACCCAGAATCACATCCTAGCATTTGTTATTAGATTTGAGTCAAAA